TTGATGACACCGCCGCCGCTGTAAATTCGGATCCAACTGACGATTTGGAAAAATGAATGCCATTTTTTGAAGATCGTCAACAACCAGTGTCGTGGGATTGTGAAGATTTCCTAGTGATGGTTGACTAAAACCATCCGGAAATTGAAGATGTCTACTCTGAGGATAATTTTGCTATTGAAAATACAACCATATCGTTCGCCTCAACAACTGATGGACCAAATCAATAGCAGTTGGCAAACTCCAGACCCCGGTCTGATTCGTGCAGCAGAAACGAACGGCAGTGATATAGATAGCGGGAATATCACCGATCTGGAGGCCAATACTTCCAACGAGGACGAGTCGTCATTCTTCAAAAATTCGCTTTCGATAATGAAGCAGTTGAAGATGAATCAAGGTCAAAAAATCGACGAGTAGATTGAAACACATAAAAAACACATTAACCTCTTATAGTAAATTTTAAAAAATTCAGTGATTTGATAAGACAATTGTTTGTACATAAAATTTGACCTACCGCTATTCCGTGTTTAGTGTGTTTTTAAGTGCGAGATTTCGTTCCAGTTTTGGAACCCAGTTAATCGGGGATATATCCGTTTTCGTGTAAGCGAAAATGTTTCTAGCATACTTTTGCAGAAAAAGAGAGGTCACTTTACATGGGCTCTTCCCTCATGCGACGGTACGTGCACAGATTGGATAGAGCCGTACCAACGCCATATAAAAACATCGGCAAAATTATATGAATAAATCAAGTCAATTTTAATGAATCTAGAGAATTGTCAATTTATATCTACCCTCCTCGATTACAGCACAGATAGAATTGTCTATGTTGGATGTATTCTAAGATTTTTGCACCCCCTAAGGCAGAGGATTGCATTCCTCAGAAGTGCAAAACTTATTTTTTCTGAAAGTTAATTGTGTCCGAGAACGCTTCGTTCCGTTTTTCGAACAGTAGAATTCTTGGTTGGTATTTTACTGTTTTGACACTCTCATGATATTTGTAGGCGTCAGATATAGTTTTAGGGCAGGATTTAGCATGGGTGTTGAACAATTTTACATCGAAAAGGGTTCGGCTGAATCGGCCTCCCCAGAGTCCATTTGCCTTGATGTCAAGTCGAGCGTCATCTTCAGTAGTGGTTGTTTTGTTGTGAAAGCTTTAAACGATTGAAGTTTTGCCTCTATTTCAACATCATGGCATACTTCGTGCAGGAGTGTCGCAAAAGTATCGCGAATTTCATTTTGTCTTAGGTGAATGTATCCATCTTTGGGACAGTGTAGAGAGAGGATCAGTGTGAACAGTTGTCCATATGGGCATGTATGTGGAGTGTTTGGTGGTTCCAATCTATATCTCAGATGTAATCCATCTTTAAACTCTGATTTGTTGAGGGAAAAATGGTCTTTTTAGGGGTAGTACGCTTAGCCATTTCGATGCTCCTTTCTTTAGCGCTAGATTTATAGTCAGTTTTTTTTCTGATGAGCAATTTTCCATAATTTTAGCCTTTTTTGGGAGTGCAATGTTGTCTCTCTGTTTTGATGTTTCTATTTATCAGAGTTTGTTCCGTTTCAGCTATTTCTGGATCACTGTTTTCCAACGGATCACAATTGACTCGTGACCACTCATAATTTCTGGATAAGTCCGTGTTACTGAGGAGGTCTAATCCTCCCATTCTTTGTGGTAGGGTAGTGCAAAAAGGCTGCGATCTTCATCGGTTATATGGTTTTTACCAGTAATACTAGGAAGTAGCTGCTGTCTTACGTCTTTCTCAATTTCATCGATTTTCTTAAATGCTCCCGGAGTTTTTCTGGTTAGAAAACTTGATTGATTTTAAACTCCCTTTGTTTAGCAGAAGTATGCATTTTGTGGTGATGTTTTAGCTATTTTGGAAAGCTCTTCAGTTAGGGTAGCTGTCTTTCTAATTTCGCTTTCTATGTATTTATCGCATGCTGATGGTGTTCCTATGCCTGATCCAAAGACTCTAGAGCCGTCTAGCATTGTAATATTTGTGCCTTCTAATACTTTTACAGCGCTTTCCTGACGGTTTTTCTTTTCTATGAGTTGACACTTAACGCTTCACATTGTATCCGAAAGCCTTTCCGTGCACATCCAGGTTGTCCATTACTGCGCGGAGACTCTTATGATCACCAGCAGAGCTTCCGTCATCTGCGTACCATTTTTGGGTGACATTTGGTTTTTGCTTCAGCTCAATCAGTGGGATTATCCCAATTCCGTACATACCCATTGCGAGGGGATCACTCTGCGTTGTGCCTTCGGTAGATGTCAAAACCGTGTTATTGACATACAAATTTGAGGGACGTTTGTATGAGTTGGCCAGCGCATGATGTAGTGCTGGACAGAGTATTTTTACATTTTTTAGAGCAAGTTCTCAATGGAGCGAGTTGAAGGCATTTTCTGCATCAATTAGTAGTATGGCGTCCGTTTCCGGTTTCTCAAACTCGTTCCTCAAGCTGTGGATAGCATATTCGATTCCACACTTCTGGCCTAAGCAGAGTTGGCAATTTTTTCCGAGATTTTTAAGGTCTGATTTTATACATTGGCTGATTGTTTCGCCAACTATTCCTCTCAGAACCTCGCCTATACCAATGAACCGTACCCCTGGATTTTTGTCCAGAGGTATGAGGCGACATGAGTTGTACGCCGTTAGGTTTTCATGGGGGTAACTTTAATTGCTATTGTATAGGATAGGTTAGCAATTGTTTTGCAAAGCTCAGTGGATGTTTGGTTGAAGTGAGTTAATATCCTTCTCCATTCGCACGCATCTAGACCTGAGTGACCGTGCGTTTTCACGGTTAATTTTCGAACTGTCTTAGCGTTTATTTGTTCAAATATACAGGGGTGGTATGGGGTTCACTTACTTATGTTATATAGTTAGTGTTCGCTGTTTTGGCTGGGGGTGTTTTTCTTTCAGGATACTAAGGACTGTTTTTGCTTCAATGACCTCGTTTAGGGGAAGTACTCCTTTTGTTTTCTTGTCTGAAAGGCAGCCAATGGCGCCAGACATTTTGCCTGTACTCATTAGTTTATCGAATTGCTTAACTTCCTCGTTTCCTTCCCACTTCTCCTTTTCGGATGTCTAATTTGGAGAGCTTTCGCTTCAGTGAAAAGTTCGTCTAGTAGACCTTGCTTCCATAAAATCATGCGGTGGCTCAGAGTTTTGGAATTTGATCCGTTTGTTTCTGATTTAGTTTTGGGGAGCAGCAGATGTAGGAGAATCATTGCTGATTTCATTGCGACGTTAGAATTTGGCGTTTCTTCTACTAATGACAACAGCTGCTGGTTCAGTAATCCTATGAACTGGAAACTGGGCTTGTTATTGCTTAGAACTATGAAGCGCGGTTTCCAGTTAACGACATTTTTATATATAACGTTTAATTTAATTTCAAGTTCTTGGTCGATAAGTTTCCAGCGGTCGAAGGGGGCTGTAGTGATTGCTGGGAGCGATGGATTAGATTGTGTTGCGTTGGGCAGTACGTTTGATTCGGGTGTTGCCGGTGATGTTGAGATGGGTGCTGCCGCTACATGAGACATGGATGTATGCTTTGCAAATGACAAACCATTTGCCTCCTTTTCGGAGGTGGCGTTAGCAAATACGGCAGTGCATTTGATCGGCCATAATTTGGTGGCGAGGAGCGTAAATTTATGGTGAATTTATACAAGTTAGCTGAGCAGGCAATGAACCGAAAAGTTTATTACCATAAAAAGAAAAATGAATACCATCTTTACAAAACATATTAGCAGTTAAAATAACGTTTAGATAGGGGGGAAAAATTCGGATTCTTGAGTGGTAAAATGTAATAATAAGGCAAAACAAAGAATTATTTAGTGCACCAAGTTTTCTGTTTATGAAGTGATTATTTGCAGAGGATGGTTTTGGGGATAATAAGCACATTTGGGTTGAACTTATGAATTATCAAACTTATCAAAAATCTCCAATCATTAGCAAAGTCTGAAACCGTAGATGAGTTGTTATTAAAGCCGGCTACTATAGTAACACCGTTCAGTTTCTGCGAGGGTAGCGCGAGACAGTAGCTGCAAGGTCGGCTAGCGTTGCATCCATGTACGAGTGAGCCGTGGCTCCGACATCTCTTGGGGCTGCAGTACTTAGTCCTTGAGGTTCCTTTTACCAGTTTCCTGCTCCACTTCGGTCTGTACTTCGGCACGGACATTCACTAATCGGGGTACAAAAGAGGCAAAACAAGAGAAAAAATAGATTGTAAAATGGATTGTAGAGAAATGGATTTAAAAACAAATAACAAAAAAGAAATGAAAGCAATTACAACCTGGTTTTTCACGGGTGGAGATGTCCGGGTAGAGGGGGAGTATCGCGGCTTGACGAGCTTGTCTCTAAAATCCCGTCCCGGGTCTTCTTCTTACACGCGTACCATTGAGCATATCATATCACATGAAACTATTTAATAAGTTTATCACAACAAGCTCGTCAAGCCGCGATACTCCCCGAGGGTTATAAGTCCGGTTGTGACTCAAAACGTAAATTGCATTTGAATCGAAGGTTTAAGAAGAATTGAGCAAACAGGAAATAGTGCAGTGAAACATACCAGTTGTTGTTGGAACGAGGATTTATCAAACCCTTTCCAGCACCAAACATGTAGACACAACGTTCAGTGGGAGCACTCAATAATATATCGAAACTTTACATTAGGACTATTAGTTATAAAATAATACATGGTCACAATTAGGACTTTTTACATGGTGACCATTGGCTGTCAGATAATACATGGTGACAATTACCTTATGGTCATCCATGGATGACAAACCCCCATCATAGTGTATAATATGCATACTACTGAAGTCATGGGATTTACCTGTAGATCAAGCGAGAGGGACCTGAATGAGGTTGAGGTTCCATAAGAAAGCAAGTTTACGTTCTAGCATATATATCTCGTTCTAGCATATATATCTCGAGGGACCTGAATGAGGTTGAGGTTCCATAAGAAAGCAAGTTTACGTTCTAGCATATATATCTTAGCCTAATTGTTGTGATAAACTTATTAAATAGTTTCATATTACGATGAACCAGAAACACTGCAGCCAGTGTGAAGCACAGTTTCGCAAGAACCAAGTTTCAGTGTGGTGCGGTATCTGCGGATGGATCCACCTGAAATGCAGTGGTCTGCGCAACAGCCACTCATGGACCCCGGGTTTCACGTGCAACACCTGCTCAACACAGTTATCAGAATTTGCTAAAAGCAGCACCAGCGGAATGACCCAAATGCTTGAAACTCTCAATGTAGGCGACAACGAAACAGAGACCCATCCGGCGTTCTCTACACCGCCGCCGGCGCTGTCAGACAGCACCAGCAGCTCTCTCTTCTCTCTCTAAACTCTTTATCCCAATATGATGCGGCGCCAAACCAAGCGGCAGCACTTGCCGGATACACTGCCGGTTCTGCCGAATCATGCAGTGGAATCAAGTGCCCGATATCATCATGCAAAACAGTCATCGCTTCAACACGCGAATTGCCACACATGGAAAAGCACAGCAGAGGCATATTACCTGGTGAAGTACCGGAAGCCTGGTTGACGTCACAGCGCAGGTTTACATGTGTGTGCCCCAAACTTGTATCATGCGTACACCGCGATTCGCATAGTCGGAGCTGCAGTGCCCGGAACAGACACAAAACAGGGCAAGCCATATCAACAGAAATGCCATCTTTAGACGAAATCATGACCTTGAAGCGGGCAACATTGAAGCACATCCCGAAACGAGCTCGTCAAAAGTTTGGAAAAGTACTCCATGATGTCCTTGCTCATGTCATATCTGTGAACGACGAAGACGCATGGACAAAACTGATGATGCTTCCCAAGTGCGTGCTACCTTCAAACAAAAGAGCTGGCAAAAAGCAAAACCTACCATCCATCGAAAAAATTTGTGACAGATGGGAAAAAGGAGACCACCTTGCATTATGGATTGACGCTAAGGAAACAGCGGAGAAGGCCAAACCCTTGAATACAAAGCAAACTACTGACCAGCAGCAGCGGGATGCTCAGCTAGACGCCGCTCTCGCCGCCGCGGCAGACGGTCAATACGGCAGAGCTTGCCGCATTCTGACATCCACCGGAATTGCCCCCAACACAGAACGCACCTGGAATTTGCTTAAGTGTAAACATCCCCAAGCGCCAAAGCCCGAAATCGACAAAGAAGGCACAGAAGCGGTTCAATTGGAGTCTGGGTTCAACATGATTGAAGCAATCAGGAGCTTCCCTAAAGACACGGCGTGTGGCCCATCGGGATTGAGAGCCCAACATCTCATTGAAGCTCAAGAAGCCCAAGTCCCCGTCAGTATTGCAACTCAGTTGCGACATGTCGTGAACATCCTCCTTCGGGGGGCAGCTCCTGGACAACTATCTCCGTTTATCGCTGGAGCCTCTTTGACGGCACTGAAGAAACCGAACGACGACATCCGCCCCATCGCATCGGGCGAAATCCTTAGACGGCTAACGAGCAAATGCGCATGCACCAAACTAAAAATTAAAGCTGCCAGGTTCTTCGAGCCTCTTCAATTTGGAGTGGCGTGTCCAGGAGGGGTTGAGAAGGTCACACACCGGCTGCGAAAAGTGATAGAAGAACACTGGCTGGACGAAGATTTCGTTGTATTCAAAGTTGACATGTACAACGCTTTCAACACCATGGACAGGCAACTGATCATGAACGAATGTAAACATCACTTCCCAGAACTCCTCGCGTGGACAAAGTCCTGCTACGGCGAGCATCCCAAGCTCTGGCACGTGTTGGGCAGCCTCTTTTCAGAGCTCGGAGTCCAACAGGGTGACCAACTAGGGCCCCTTATCTTTGCTCTTGCGCTACACTCCGTGGTCAACGACATAGACGCAGCATGCGAACTGCTCCTGCATTGTTGGTATCTCGACGACGGTGTGTTCTGCGGCAAAAGATCAGAAATAGAGAAAGTCTTAGAGATCCTGACCAACGCCACCGCAGTCACCGGCCTCTCAGTTAAACTCAGTAAATGTGAACTATATAGCAGATCGGACCTGTCGTGCTTTCCCGAGGCAATTGAGAAAAAGTACCACGAACCGAATTTACAAATGTTAGGGGCACCGATAGGCAGCGCGGAGTTCTGCAGGAACATCATCGCGGAGAAAGCAAAGGAATCGAACGAACTGTTGTCGAAATTGCCCGAGTTAGGAAACCCTCAAGTCTCCACCATATTGCTCCGAACTTGCGCTTCATTCTGCAAACTCAGCCACCTCGCAAGATCAGTTCCTCCAGACGTCTCAGCTCCTGCACTGAAGAAGTTTGATGACAGTGTCAGGAAATGTTTCGAAGAGAGCGTGGTCATAAACGCAACGGATCGAGCATGGACACAAGCACAACTACCGATACGATTCGGAGGATTCGGCCTGCGGTCGCTTGAAAACCACTGCAGCCCTGCATTCATAGCCTCACACAAATTCTCAATGGGTGCCGCATTTGACGCTCAGAAACTGGAAAGCGCACTTGAAATTTTCAACAGCAGAATAGGAGACCATGAACCCCTCAGTTCGACTTCAGAGCTCATTCGCCAGAAACCGTTATCCGACTTGATTGACGAGCACAGTTTCCACGAATTAGAAGAAACGTGCACGCTTGCTGAAAAAGTGAAGTTAACATCCTTGACTGAACCTCACAATGGAGACTGGATCCGCGCGCAGCCCTCAGAAGCGCTAGGCTTAGGCTTATCACCCAACGAGTTTAATGTTCTCACCAAATGGCGGCTCGGACTGGAAATTTTTCCATCTAACCAAACGTGCCCTCTTTGCCCAAACGAGACACTTGACCAGTTTGCCCAGCACGCCTTAACATGTAAACGGGGCCCAGATGTTTGCAGACGACACAATGGCCTGCGCAACTCTATTGCCGACTACTGTCGCAGAGCACAACTGAATCCCATTCTAGAAGCGGGAGCAGGGTTTCGCGATCAAACGCGCCCTGCAGACGTGCTCGTGCCAACGTGGAATCTCGGGAAGGATGCAGCCCTGGACATCACAGTTGTGAATCCGCTCAACGACACCAACATTGACGGAGCGATCGCAATTAGGGGTTCAGCAGCAGCGGCCGCGGCATCAAGAAAGCACGGCAATAACGACGCGAAGTGCCGGAAACTTGGCTGGGAGTGCCTTCCTATGGTAGTCACTTGCTATGGCGAGTGGGGAAGCGAGGCCATCGCATTCCTAGACCGCCTTGCATCTCGTGTGGCCATGCAAACAGCACGCCGGAGATGAAGAACGCCATTTACACTCGGCTCAGCTGCCTATTAATGCGGTCGAACGCGCAGGCAATGCTGTCGAGAGGTGGACAAATAACGGCAGGTCGAATGGAATTATCAATTGGAGGCGACCCATCAGCGTAACCATATAGACAATATACCACTTTAGTGTCTGCCATCAGGAGCAATAGTTTTTGGCTTGTGCTGTTTGCGATTACGGACCTCTTGGTTTTCACTATATGACTGATAATGTATTTTTGTTTGCCTAGTTTGTTTATATTCAGTTTTTCAATGTTAAAAAAAGTCATTGTTTTGACTGTTAAACAAAAAAAAAAGAATTTAAATTATTTGTCATTTTACCAAAAAAAAAAGCATATATATTTTTAGATGCCCCGCCGAGGATCGAGCCTCAAACATTATGTTCCCAAGTCGCGTACTTTACCCCTAGACTAAGGGAGAAGGGGTCCATAACGCGTCGAGATTCCTTAATCAAGCAAGATACACATACAAACAGAGGCGGATATATACACAGTTACATGACGAAAAAGTCCGGTTCGGACGCAAACCCAGACCCGTCACCTGTAAGAAAGTAGTTTACAGGAAAAAGTGTAGTTCCCGATTACAATTCACTTGCTCTCGCCAGTAAGAATTATCTAACTATCAAATCGTTCAGTGATTCTGTAAGCCAAGTTGGTTGATTTGAAATTGTCTTTGTTAATGCTTGCTCATCGCAAGCATTGCAACTTAATCGAATCCAGTTCACGACTACGCGGGCTTTATTGGGATGTGCTCTCGAATGCCGTGGTTTGTGCAACCTGGATTAAAAGATCTCCAAGGCCTTATATCCCTTCCTCTAGGGTGGTCGGAATAAAGCACTTGCATCAATAAATTAACGTTGAAACATATTCGGTTGAACATTAAAATCCTATAGTCATATAAATGTGCGTTTCGGGGCTATCAAATGACACCAAGCTACACCTTGAACTCAAAGACATAATTTATGCTCTGAAATCACTCACATCGTATTTGTGTCCAAGCAAAGACATTTCTTCCATCGTAGCCATAATATACCATCGCATCTCGACTTGGTTCCCTAGAACTTTCTCGTAGTTTCGAAAATCATCTGTATCACGAGGCGAGGCCCACAAACTTACCTCTTTTTTCCAAACGCAGTTCTCGTCCACTCCCTTTAAAAAATTTTGAAAACTTTTTTACCAAGGAAAATCTGTAGTATAATGACAAACAGCTTCTGTTTACCTTAAAGCAATCGACCTTCCCATCATACAGTTGATTGTTTGTGATATTTATCAGTTGATCACCCGAGAATAAGCTTCTGTATTGCTGAAACGTCGGATGATGACACACAGTCTTGTTACTACTAGTTTTGTTGCTACTACCCCCACTCGGACAAGCGGGTCCGAATTCATCCGATAAATCCCTAGTACAGTCAATAAAACCGTCGCACATTTGTTCCTCGGAGATTTTTCGGTTGTGTGTGCAACAAATGAAACCCTTTTCATTAGTGTTAGGCCCACAATATTCACCTGCTTCGTCGGAACCGTCCACACAGTCAAACTTACCATCGCACCTGAAACAATCGCACTTAAACAAAAAATCATGATTATATCAGCTAAATATCCAACCTTCGGAAAGTAGAAAAGGTTATTACGAGTTAAATGCAATTATCTAAAACTACTAAAATAACAAATAACCTCGAAGTATCAATTAAACTCAAAGTACTACAATGTTTCCTACTATATGAAGGCGACACGATAATTTTTCTGAGGGGAGAGGGGGGCGAACCTAATAAATTTCATAGCATGAATCGATTCGCAACAGGTTAAACTTTCCTAAGCAAGCTCATTAAAACTACAATCATGTTTACCATCACTGAAGTCAGCATTTTCTAATGACCTCAAGTCAAGAGTGGTTTATAAACTGTCATGTAGTGGATGCACTTCCACCTATGTCGGACAAACTGTTCGACATTTGAGCACTAGAATTGAGGAACATAAGAAAGCAGACTCACCGGTAGGCCTCCACCTTCAGCAATGCCAACTTGAGGGAAATAGCGCAGATCTTAGTTGGGAAATTATAGATAGGTCAAAAAACCAAACCAAATTGCTAACACTAGAGGCAATACATATCAGGAAAGAGAAACCGGGCTTGAACACGCGCGATGAGTTTAGGAGCAGGGAGTTAACACTGAAAATTTAGTCCCAAAATATTTTTGGTTTTTTATTCAAAACGTACATGTCTAAATCGAAATTATGACTCAGAAACTTCCAGACAAATTAATTTTAAAATGTTTAATTAATTTTAGAGGTTAAGAGTATTTTAATCTTAATAGTAATTTAGAGGTCAACTGTGATTGGCTAATTTTTTATCATGATGGTTTAGAACCAAATTGTATGTGATTTATTGTAAATAACATTTGTAAATTGATGTTTTATCGTCATTTAGAGTAGTTTATTGTAAAAATCCTGACGATGCACATAGTTGCGAAAACGTTTGAAATTTACTTTTTAGCAAAAATTTCTTCAAGCTCATTAAGCGACCTACGGAGGAGATACTTCGTAGCAATTATACCAACGCTATATAAATACATCGACAAAATTTTATGAATAAATCAAGTCTATTTTAATACATCAAGAGAATTGTCAATTAATATCTACACTCCTCGATTACAGCACAGATAGAATTGTCTATGTTGGATGTATTTTTAAGTTTTGTGCACCCCCTAAAGCAGAAGATTGCAAATCTTATTTTTGTTCTTATAGTTAATTGTGTCCGAGTATGATTCGTTCCGTTATTCGCTTAGTTACTCTGCTAGTTTCAGGACGGTTTTTGTAGAGCCTGGTGCTGCTCCTCCGGTACACGCAAAAATTAGTGGAACAAAGCTGCTGTGTTCCACATCCAGAATTCTTTGCTGGTATTTTAATGTTTTCATACTCTCATGATACTTGTAGGCGTCAGATATAGTTTTAGGGCAGGATTTAGCATTGGGGTTGAAAATTTTTACATCGAAAAAGGTTCGGCTGAATCGGCCTCCCCAGAGTCCATTTGCCTTGATGTCAAGTCGAGCGTCATCTTCAGTAGTGGTTGTTTTGTTGTGAAAGTTTCGGCTCCATTTCAACATCATGGCATAATTCGTCCAGGAGTGTCGCAAGGGATTACATGTCAGTATTTAGACAACCGCGTATTCAGACTGGTCAGTATTTAGACAAATATTGTTTCAACCAATCAGAATTGAGACAAAGAAGAAATTAATAAATAATTATTATTTAGTTTGGATTCTTTATTTCTTTTCTCGATTCTGATTGGTTCATACCAGGGATTGCAATATATTGAATGATCAGATATTAAATATTGAGACGATGTCAATTTTGAATTTTTAATATTGAGATATTGAAGGCTAGATATTGATATTGATATTGAATTTTTTGTAGATATTGAGAAAAAGAAATTCAAGATAACTTAATGGACTGACTAAGTCAAACAGTCAAACAGTCAACTCAACTCACTCAAGCATTAAAATTAAACAAATTAAACAAAAAACATTTACATTGCAAAAAAAACTAAACAAATTTAATTATATATTTCGAAATTCAATATTGAATTTGGTCTCTGGTATCTTAAAATAGTGATAATATTGAGATATTGAGCTTTTAGATATTGATATTGATAATGAAATTTCATCCTATTTGATATTGATATTGATATTGAATGGAAGATATTGATATTGAGCTCAATATATTGATATTGTATTGAAATCCCTGGTTCATACAGTATTTGTCTAAATACTGACGAGTATGAATACGCAGCTGTCTAAATACTGGCTGCACTCCGTCGCAAGGGTATCGCGAATTTGAATATGTCTTAGCTGAGTCTATCCACCCTTGGGACAGTGTAGGAAATGGGTCAGTCTGAACGGTTGTCCACACTGGCGTGTATGTGTGGTGTTTGGTGGTTCCCATCCATATCTCAGATGTAATCCATCTTTAAACTCTGATTTAATGAGAGAAAATTTTTTTTCAGGGGGATCACGCTTAGCCAATTCGATGCTCCTTTCTGTGACGCTAGATATATTGTCAGTTTTTTCTCTGATGAGCAATTTTCCATAATTTTAGCCTTTTTTGAGAGTGTGATGTTCTGTTTCTTAATTTTGATGTTTCAATTTTTCAGAGTTTGTTCCGTTTCAGCTATTTCTGTGTCACTGTTTTCCAACGGATCACAAATGGCTCGTGACCACTCATAGTTTTTGGAAAAGTCCCTGTTACTGAGGAGGTCTAATCATCCAATTCTTAGTGGTAGTGCAAAAAGGTTGCGATCTTCATCGGTTATATGGTTTTTACCAGTAATACTAGGAGGTAGCTGCTGTCTTACGTTTTTATCAATTTCACCGATTTTCCTAAATGCTTCCGGAGTTTTTCTGGTTAGAAAACTTGATTGATTTTAAACTCCCTTTGTTTAGCAGAAGTATGCATTTTGTGGTGATGTTTTAGCTATTTTGGAAAGCTCTTCAGTTAGGGTAGCTGTCTTTCCAATTTCGCTTTCCATGTATTTATCGCATGCTGATGGTGTTCCTATGCCTGATCCAAAGACTCTAGAGCCGTCTAGCATTGTAATATTTGTGCCTTCTAATACTTTTACAGCGCTTTCCTGACGGTTTTTCTTTTCTATGAATTGACACTTAACGCTTCACATTGTATCCGAAAGCCTTTCCGTGCACATCCAGGTTGTCCATTACTGCGCGGAGACTCTTAAGATCACCAGCAGAGCTTCCGTCATCTGCGTACCATTTTTGGGTGACATTTGGTTTTTGCTTCAGCTCAATCAGTGGGATTATCCCAATTCCGTACATACCCATTGCGAGGGGATCACTCTGCGTTGTGCCTTCGGTAGATGTCAAAACCGTGTTATTGACATACAAATTTGAGGGAGGTTTGTATGAGTTGGCCAGCGCATGATGTAGTGCTGGGCAGAGTATTTTTACATTTTTTAGAGCAAGTTCTCAATGGAGCGAGTTGAAGGCATTTTCTGAATCAATTAGTAGTATGGCGTCCGTTTCCGGTTTCTCAAACTCGTTCCTCAAGCTGTGGATAGCATATTCGACTCCACACTTCTGGCCTAAGAAAGATTTCAATGATTACCAAAAACTGATTAATGGAGGACTTGATCAACAAAGTGCGCTGAAAAAGTTGCGTATTCAATCAGTTCCACCAACAGGTTTTGAAATTTACTCTTATTTGAAAAACATCTGGGAACAATACAGTATGATTACTTTCAAAGACTTCTTACAATGGTACAACAACAAAGATGTTTTTCCTACTCTTGAAGCTATGCAAAAAATGATAGAGTTTTACCATGATAAAGGAATTGACATGCTGAAACTTGGATGTACGCTTCCAAATGTTGCAAATATCTGCTTACACAAGTCGACAAATCACAAATGTTACCCGTTCTTTGAAGGAGATAAGGATTTATGTCAGAAAATTAGAGAAGACATGACTGGTGGTCCATCAATAGTTTTTACGAATGGTTTGATAGTCCAGACAAGCTTGACTGTACGGAATTGCCTCCATATGAAGCCTTTTTCAGCAACAACAACATTTGAGACATCACAACACTCTCGAAAAAGATTTCAACGATTACCAAAAAATTGTTAATGGAGGACTTGATCAACAAAGTGCGCTGAAAAAGTTACGTATTCACTGAGTTATACCAACATGTTTCGAAAATTCCTCTTATTTGAAAAGCATCTGAGAATAGCACAGCATGATCACTTTCAAAGACTTCTTACGATGGTATAACGACTAAGATGTTGTTCCTACTCTTGATGCTATGCAAAAAATGATAGAGTTTTACCATGATGAGGGAATTGACATGTTGAAACTGGGATTCACGCTTCAAAATCTTGCAATTATCTGATAACACAAATCTACAAATCACAAATTCTACCAGTTCTTTGAAGTAGACAAGGATTTTTGTGAGAAAATTCGAGAAGACGTGACAGGTAGTCCGCCAATAGTTTTTAGACGAAAGGCTGTTGTCGATCAAACATATATTCGTAAGTCGTCAAATATTTGCAAGACAATAGTTGGAACTGACGCTAGCCAATCATATCCGTTCTCAATGTGCCAAGAGATGCCGACCGGACTTTACACAAGATGGGAGTATGACTCGGAAACTGATCGTTTTAAAGCTAGAAATAATAGAACAAGAAATTTCGAGAACATGGTTATGTCCTTTTATCAAGAATTGAGACCAGAGTGTAAAAGTCAGAGTTTTTACACAACCGGAAAGCAGAAGAAAATTGACTGTTTTCATGTTGATGGTTACTGCGATCACTGTAAAACAGTATTTGAAGCTATGGGTTGCTACTATCATTTCTGCTCATGCCAAGAAACCCGTCCATCGTTGTCAGAACAAGATATTGAAAGGGGAAATAAGAAGCGAGAATTGGATGAGTTGAGACGAGAGCACATAAAAGAAAGAGGTTAAAAAATTCAGGAAATGTGGGAGTGTGAGTGGTGGGAGCATTTCAAAACAGATTCTTCAGTCAAGAATCATGTCAAGTCAAATTTTCCCTACAAAA